TCGCAGTAGCACGAGGGGTGTATTACGTAAAAGCCGGCACCAATCGCATCTGAGTATCGGGCTACCCCCTACTGCGGGAATTATTACTATAGGAGGCACACGATAAGATTACCTCATGACATGTCGGGGTAAAAAATGCACGATAGCAGCTGCAGCGGTATTAAGAGTGGCCCAAGATGCTGACCTACGTACAGGGACACGTAGCATCGTATCCCACTCTCCATCTCTTGAAGTCATCATGACCGCGGCCAATACCACCCCTAGAGCGTGCTTGGCAGCAGGTGACGATGAACTTCGTCACGGGGTTATCAGTTGGAGCAAGTGGGAACAACGCGATCCTCGTAGTTGTCCATAGGCTGACAAAGATGGTTCATTACATAGCTTGCAAGAAATCAATCGCCTGTTCATTGCCACCGTCGTTCTCCTACTCGTGATACTAGCAGCAATTATAACCGACCGTGACACGAAATTTACAAGCAACTTCTAGAGGAACCAGTGCCATCACTCTGGCACCCCCAGACTGACGGTCAAACTGAACGCACCAACCAGGCCATGGAGCAATTAATGGGCAGAACCGTACAGTAGACACAACGTCGAACCCCGACAACCCTATCTCATATGCACAATAGTTCGCGGAAATATTGCAAGCAACCCGGGCCCGAGCAGCAGACGCGATAATCAAATCAAACATCATCACTAAGCGCAACGCCGATCGCCACCAACGCCTCGTCACTTACCAATCCGAGGACCTCATTTTGCTCGACACTCATTATCTCCACCTGCCCATCACCCAAAGTTACGTCCAAGACATTGCGGGCCATTTCGCATCAGCCACATGATCACCTCCGTAACCACCCACCTCCTCATGCCCGCTGCCTGGTATGTTAGCCCGTCCTTCCGCGTAAGCCTCCTCCACACCTACGTCCCGTCAATGATTCAGCTGTTACGCAACCGCTCGTCCAGCATGAACTTCCCGTCAACCGAACCAATCATCACACTCGAAAAAATAAAGGTAAAAAAAAAAGTCACGAAGTGGGAAACCCACGTGGAGCACGACACATCGAATTATTGATACATTGGAGAGACCAAATGCCCACCGATGGTAGCTGGGTCCCCCTAGACACAATCGAAAACCACCCCGTCCTCACCGAGTTATCTGCATAGCCGAAATTTTCGCGGCATACGTACACGCGCTTTCACAAGGGGCCTCCCTTGAGGAGGGGGCCAGGGCAAGGAAACAAATTATCCTTACTTCTCGTCGCATTGTATACCGCGTACATGATTATGCCTGCCCACTGTACAACCAACAGCAGCCCGTTACCACCTTGCGACACTCGCCTCAACACTGTTCCCGCCACCACAACCCTCGTGCCCAAACCGCCCGGCTCGGCTAGTAACACGCGACTAGTTCCTACGCCTCGACATCTTCCAACTTCGGCATCAGGCTCGTAGGGCACCCCTTCAACTGACCGTTGCCAAAATGCCTTTTCTATTCTACACTACCTTTGCCCAGTGTATACTTTTGCACCGATAGTGCAATCTTCGTCCATTCACTCAATTGCACTCTAATCTACGCGAATAAGGGAAAGTTGCTAGGTCACAATTACCCCCTTAGAAAATATAGTTTGAAACAATCTTCGTTTCCGGGAAAACTATGCGTACACGGGTGTAATTCCCCACGGGTGTGAAAATTTCGATACACGTACAATCCTAACTCCATCCCGAGCGCTTCAGCCACAAAATAGCTGGTCCCAACCTGGTCCCGTTTGTGATCCTCTTGCTTCCCCAGATCGGGCAATTTCGAGCTTGTGACCCGACCTGCAATCATACCTATTGTTTTTTTTTTTTTTTTTTTTTTTTTTTTTTTTTGTATTGTGCAAGCAGCAACGGCAAGCGCTTCGTTTCCAGCAGCAGGAGGCCGTAGGATGTATGGGTTCGATAAAGACATTTCGTGCTTGCCGCTAGCCTTCTGACGGCTTGTAGATTTCTCGTCTCCAGCTGAGTGGAGGCACTTCTCGTCCCACGTCACAGGGAGCCACTTTCGTTGTGTGTATGTACCACAGCATCCCCGCAATTGGATGTTTCCCGAAACGTTACCCTACGGCTGATAGAACGAACTGTTTAGACCCTAATGGGCACTAAACGTCAGTCTTTGAAAATTGTGACTGGTTCGAAATCACATGCTCGTGAGGTAGGCAATGCTTCTCAGACCACTTCACAAACATGTAGACCGATAAGGTACAGCCCTTATGTCCGCAGCTGATCCTCAAACAAATCCCCTCCCCCAACCCCCCTCCCCTCCCCCCCCACCCCACCCCCCAGCTTTTCCACTTGCAAGTTGTCACCCCTCCCCTCCCCTCTGTATTGCTTTGAAGTTACTTCACTTGCTCCGTTCAAACTTGTGTGGGTAGTTTACGCAGGTTGCTGTACTGTACGAATGGCAGCAGCACCCAGTATCTTTGTTCCTTTCTGGGTACACAATACAACAGGTGGTGAGGATGAGCGGGTATTATTTCTTTCCCCTTGTCAGATCAGTGAGGTGGTGGTGGAGGTGATGCAACGCAAGGTCCGTGCCCGAGACGCGCTGAACCAGCTGGAGTGTTGTCAAGGGGGGGGGGAGCGACTGGGATAGGAACTTCACAATTCGTTTTGCGAGGTGTGTACAGAACGACCGAAGAACCCTGAATCCTGAAGATCATGTATGGTACATCCAAAGGAGGTGAAGAGTTCTTGATTTTGCTGAACGTGTACTGCAATTGGAAGCAGCTTTTACAGTATGAATGTTTTAGCGAAGTGGAACCAACCATGAACTGTACAGAGCAAGACAAGGGCTGCCTCATCCCCGTACATGATTGGTTATGTTGCGTGCCTTGCGCCAATAATATCGTCCTTCTCGTTTCTCAGGGACTTGTCGTCGTCTCTGCCCGTCTCTGTAGTTCTAGATGGTCGAATTTGACGCCTTCCGCCAAGAGCTGGCCAATCCCGATCGCCGAAACGACTTCCCCGTTCCAATCCCAGCTTGGGACAGGCTTCATCAGTTTCTTTCTGTCTGACCACAGCCGCGGTACACCTCTGAACCATTGCAGAAGCAAATGTTGGGGTAAGTAGCTTTAGCGGGGGTACTAGCGACCCTGCGCTAGATGTGGCGTGCACCTCACCTACTTTCTCTCCCCCACCCCAACCTGTGAGAACCTCCAAACCCAGCCCCAAACCACCAAGCCAAGCTACACCTCTCCCCCCCCCACCCACACCCGCTCGCTACACAGGATGCTCAGCTGTTGTACGCAAATTCAGTTCGTCAAATTTCTTCATCCTGCCCAATTGCATTTGGTACCTGCCAGTTGCACGCACGATACAAGCCCATATTTTGATCGCAGCCGTTGAACATACAGCTTATCACGCTGGCATCCGTCCGTTCGTGAGATATTGTGGAGACGCTGGTTACATTTGTTCACCTGCCCACTACAGTCCCGATTTTGCCCGTGGCGAATATTAGCGAGCAGGCGAAATAGTTGTTGCTCATGAAACACAAAAATTACGGGTAATGTCGTGGGTATCTAAAAGAATTCTGGTGTACCATCCCCCCTCCCCTCTTCTCTCTCCCCCTTTCCCGCCCGGAATCTGTAGCGAACAGAGATTAGGATGAGAGGGTAAATGTCAGCGGGTTCTTCGTGTTACGGCTGATATTTCGGAAGGATTAGAAAATAGAAATGACACACCCATAACACCTCATGAATTAAATCTTCAAGCTTAGCAATCCCTCTGCTCACCACCATGCTAAGCGAGTGGAGAGAGGGAAAAGAAGCGTGGACCAGTGTGCCTATCTGCACAGATTCAAGCGCTAGAGAAGCATCGGTTTTTGTTCTGCAGGTTCTTGGAATCACTGGGAAAAGACGACCCAAACTGCACAACCCAACTCCCCGTCAACGCGGAAATTACAGGGTTAGCGTTGCAGGACCCCGAGAATCTCCAGATTCTCAACGTGGGAGACTTGGATGCATCCGGGTCCTTCAAATATTAGCCCCAACAGCGAAGCGCACTTCAGATTCGCTGCTCATCACAAGGCACAGTGAGAAGGTTTGGCGGTGAGTTCGAGGGGCAACCGCAAAATCCGCATAGGAGCACGCTGTGCGCTTCTCTCCATTCAGCCCTGCTGCGCGGTTTCGCCAACGACGACACCATTCAGACTTTGCGCGCAGGGGTTTCAATTTGGAACTCTGACTCGAAGTACCTACCCTCACGATCTCACGGAACCCATTGTGGAAGTAAATGCACCGCTCTTAAACGTAGAAAGTATTAATTAATTGCCCGCTTTGCAACAAACTTGTGATGTGAGTGAAGCCCCAACAGCAGCAGCAGCGGCAGCAGCAGAGGCAGTGGTGTTTCCGCTCCGCAGCAGCGGAAGTCCAAAAGTTGGTGCACTGCTGTCAAGCACTGCCAACGAAAAGTCGTCATTGCGGGGCTTGAACCGAAACCGCAGCAGTTGCGTAGCGCCCCGACGACGAGAGAAATGAGGGTGGTGTGTGAAAGTCCGCAAGCGAGTAGTGGTTCCTCCTCCACTGATCTCTAGTAGACTAGGAAGGGCTATTAGGAAATGGGAAATGACGGCCGCTGTCCTCTCCCTTCGCGTACGAGTGAGCGAACCAGGAAGGCGATGTGGGACGAGTTGTCTACCAAAACACCAATGCACCAAGGCACGTCGTTACTACACCCCATTAGTCTAACTTCATAAATGTAGCATAGTGCAATTCCCGCTATCCGCGCCGCGCATACTTATCGGTCCCTCTCGTTTCGCACCAATGATTGGCTGCCAATCAATTGCCTGCATAAGCAGCCCCCTACTCCTCTCTCCCCCGTCTTCCTCTTCTTCCTATCATTCCCTTCGTCCCTTCGGATTACACTCTGACTCCCATTCCCGTTCCCATTCCAACTCCCAAACCCCGTTTCCTTAACTCGAAATGACATCCGCGTTATCATGTAGACGCGTACAAGACATAGTAATGGCAGCTACGACCGAACCCATTATCGAACCAGACGCCTGGAACCTTTCGCGCCAAGACACTCTCTCCCCGCCGCCCCCGCCCAAGTGGGTAACGCTGCAGCGGCAGATGGCGGGTCACAAGACCAAACCATCGGCGCGCAGCCGTCGCGCAGTCGGCGGCGGGGAAAGCGACAAACGGGAGAACGATGCGGGTAGTCCTAGCAGTAGCAGCGGCGACAGCGGCGCCGATAGTAGCGGTGGGAGCAGCAGCCAAACCAGCGATCCTGCTGCGAACGTTCCGGAGGAGTTTCTGTGCCCTCTGTCGCTCGAGATTATGCGAGACCCCGTTATTATCGCATCAGGGCAAACATACGATCGTGCTTACATCGAGCGTTGGTTTTCGGAGGGCCGTTCCTCCTGCCCTAAAACGAGACAGTGCATCGAGCACACTAATTTCTGCCCTAATTTCGCCCTTAGGAGCATGATTGCTGATTGGTGCGCTGCAAATGACGTCAGCCTCCCACCTATCACGCCGATTCCCGCGTCGAAGCCTCCCTCGGGCTTCGCAGAAAGTCCCGCCGCCAAACACGCCGCCGGCGCCGCTATGGCGACGAGAAAGATAGAGACCCGCGCAACCGCGACGGCGATGCAACCGCAGCAACATAAGCAGGAACAAAGGGAGCAGAAGAAGCAGAGAGAGCAGAGGGAGCAGTTGCGCGATGGAAACCCGTCCGAAGAACGGGGGGGAGCGGAGGGCAAAGCGGAGCGGCGGAGCAGGGCGCGCAGCAAAGACGGGTTCGGGTCCGTGCGCGGGGCAAAACACGCGCAAGCGGAGGCGCTGGAAGAGCGGGGGCAGGGGAACGCGGCGGAGAGGATGAGCGGCTCGCGCAACGGAAAATCGGCCGGTGGAGAGTTCGCGGAAGACGGGGAAGGAGCCGCGGTGAAGCTGGGGAAGAAGAAGACGGGCCCGCGGAGGAAGAAGTTTGCGGGCACGGAGGATCTCGCGCGCGGGGAAGTGGATGCAGGTGGCGTGTCCAGCGAGCGCGCGGAGTTCGGCTCCGCGGAGCGGAACTGCGCGGAGGAAGAAGGGGGAGCCGTGGGAGCAGGTTGTCGGGAAGCAGCGGAGGTGGGAAGCGGGGGGGCGGAGAAGCGCGAGCATGCGCACGCGCGCACACACGAGCGGGGGGAGGATGCGAGGGGGGGAAAAGGGGGGGAGGAGGAGAAGCGGAGAGTTGCGGGCGGAGGGGACGGGAGCAGGAGCGGGAAAGAGAGGCGGAGAACGGCGAGCGGGGAAGGATTGACTCGCGAGGGGAGCGCTGTGGGGAGGAGGGATGGCGGCGCGGAGGCGAAGGCGGGTCTTAGGGCTTCTCGCGGCTCGTCTAGCTCGTTTGGGAGGGGCAAGGCGGGTGATCCCACGGAGCAGCAGCAGCAGCCGTTTCAAGAGGCGCAACCTCCGCCGGATATGGCGGCCATAGCTGCTGCCGCCGTCGCTGCAGTAGATGCCGCACAATCCGCCGCAAGTCCCGCCGGAGGCCCATCAGCTACGGAAGGCGCAGCCGTGCCTACTCAGCGGCGGAAACCGTTGCGCACGACTAGTTCCGTGGGGGGAAAAGGCTCGCGGAAGGGCAGCGGCATTCCCACCGGCAGTTTTAACGGTCAGGATGCATTCGACGGTTTGCCGACGGATAACCGTCAGAAGCAGGCGAGAGCGGGGAGGGAGCGCGGATCGCGGGAGGGGCTGGAAAGCGCGTTGCTTTCCCGCACGCGCAGCAGCTTCCCCGCGCCGGGGAACCAGGGTCTGGCGGAGGTGCTGGGGGAGGCGGAGCACTGGCGGAACGCGGAGAGCGCGGAGCAAGGGACGGCGCAACCGGCGGCGAGCGGCAGCAGCAGGCGGAGAGTAACGTTCGGAGAGGTGACCGGAATATGGGACGAGGCGGAAGGGGGCGGGAAGGCGGAGGGGGAAACAGGGCCCGCGGGGAAGGAGGGGAAGGGGAAGAGCGGGGGGAAGGCGGGCGGAAGAGGAGCAGGGTTGCGCAGAGCAGCAGCGGGGAGCGTGAAGCTGACGAGGCGGGAGAAGGAGGAGGTGATGGGGGGGCTGGCGTTGCACGGAGTAGGTGGGGGGGTGGCGGAAAGCGGGGGGGGGGGGGTCTCAGTGTTTGACAAGCAGCAAGGGCAGTCGCCGCGGCCGGAGCAGCAGCAGAGATGGCGGGGGGAAAGATGACGGAGGGACGGAGGAGGGGGCAAAGGAAGGGCGGGAGAAAAAGGTGAAGGAGAAGCAAAAGGTGGGGGAGAGGGGCGCCGGGTCCGCGCGCGCGGGAGTGGAAGGGGAGAAGGAGAAGGAGAAGGAGAAGGGGAGGGCGAGGGAGAGGGAGAGAAAAGGGCGGGAAGAAGGAGAGGTGGGGGCGGAAGAAAGAGGGGTTTTGCGGGAGAAGGGCGCGCGGCGGGTGGAACGGTCCAAGACTCCCCCCGTGCCTCTACTGAACGCGGGCTTGGAGGGCCGCGATGAGTCGCGTGACTATAGCGCGGATAGAGGAGCGAGTGGGGACTACCCTAGTGCGGAACTGCAGCAGCAGGAGCAGGGAGATCAGCGGGAGCAGGGGGAGCAAGGGGGGAAGGGGGAGCAGGGGGCGGGTAAGGCGCGGGGGCGTGGGCGCAGCCGCAGTGCGCGCACGCCGGTTGACACCCCTGTGGTGTCGCGGCAAGGCAGCGAGAACAACGACCCGCTCCACCGCCGCTCTGCTGCTGCTAGTGGTGCTGGTGCTGGTGCTGGTGCTCTTGAGTTGAGTGGCTTAAGGGGAGAGGTAGATGTGCGGCTGAGGCAGGGGGAAGGGGAGGGGCGACGGGGAGAGGCGGAGTGGGAGCAGGGAGCGACACGGGATGGTCGCGAGGATTTCGGAAGAGAACGGGTTTCTTTGGATGGAGGGATGGGGGGGGATGGGGTGTATGGTGCAGGGAGGGGAGGAGGAGGCGGAGGAGGTGGAGGAGGAGGTATGGAAGAGGAAGAGGGAGGAAGAGCAGGGGGTGGGAGTGGAAATGGGGAAGGGGATGGGGATGGGGATGGGGAGGAGGAAGAGTGTGCGAGGGAGGAGGAGTGGGAGAGGGAGAGGGAGCGGATGGAGCATGTTCGGAGCAACTCGTGTAACGGCAGGCACCCTATGGCTGGCGCAGGCGCAGGCGCAGGGGGAGGGGGAGGCGGAGGCGGAGGCGGGGTGTTTGAGTGGGGGTCGCAGAGGGGGAGGAGCATGGGCGCGCTTGCAGACGCTGCGGTTGCTGCTGTGGAGAGACGCGCAGGGAGCTTCACAGAACGAAGCACAGGGGGGACAGGAGGAGGCGGAGGGGGAGCGGGGATGGGGGGAGTGGCGGCAGTGAGGGAGGACTGGTTGGGGGTGCGTATGGGAGTGGATATCCCTCCCCACGAGCTGCTGCTCATGCAGCACAACGCCCCCTCGCCCCTCCCGCCTCGCCGCAACCTCGCGCGGCCTCCCCTCGACACCCGCTCGCCTTCTGCTGCGGCCGCTGCTGCTACTGGCTATGGTGTGGGTCTTATCGCTACTGCTGGTGCTGGTGCAGCTGGTGCTGCTGCTGCTGCTTCTGTTCCGGATCTGCATTTGCAGGTGGGCTTACCCAAGGGACACAGTAGTGCCAGTCACAGTGCCAGTGCCAGTGACAGTGACACGGGCACCACCGCTGCTGCTGCTTTCATTGATCTCTACAGCGCTGCTGCTGGCGCTGGCGCTGCTGCTGCTGGTGGTGGTGGCGGTAACAGTGGCAGTTGGGGTGGGGGTGAGGGAGGGGGTGGGGGTGCGAATCACACTGACAGTAACAATAACATTAGCGCTAACGCTAACGTTAACACCAACGCTAACGCCAACGCCGCTGCCTATGCGTCGTCCCCCGGTCTCTCTCCTCTAACCCTACCACCATCCCCACCATCATCAGCACCGTCACCATCCGCATCAGCAGCATCGGCAGCAGCAGCAGCAGCGGTAACACCCCTGCCGCCACCCCCCATGGTATCCATAGCAGCCTTCCCCACCACGCCCAACCTGCTTCCCTCCTCACAGCGGCCCTTAGAACGCAGGGGCACCGACATGGGTCACATGGGGCTAGGGGTAGGGCTAGGGCACCACAAGAAAGGTGCTGGGAAAATGGCGGATATGCTGGGGGGATGGAAGTGGAAGGGGGGGCGCGGTGGGGAGAATAGGGGGAGGGGTGAGGGGGGGGGTGATTATGGTGGTGGTGGTGGTGGTGGTGGTGGGGCTGAGGAGGTGTTTGGCAGGAGTCGCAGTAGCAGCGACGATGTTGCTGCTGTTGGTGCTGCTTCTCCCGCTGCTTCTTCCGCTGCCGCCTCTCCTGGTGCTGGTGCTGGTGGTGGTGGTGGTGGGGCGGGTTCAGGGAGAAAGGCGAAGGGGGGTATCGGAGGGGCGATGAGTCATGGGCTTGGGCTGGCTCGGTCCAAGTCGGCTCTTCCTCCTGGCCTCCTGCACGTGTTTGGCAATGCGCTGGGGCGCGTGGCTGATGCTTCCCCGGGCGCAGGGGGGAAGCGCGGAGGGAAGAAGGAGAGTGCGGTGAACGGTGGGGGGGGGAGCGGTCGAGCAGGGGGAGCGGGGGGAGGGGGAGGGGGAGGGGGAGGAGGTGGAGGAGTGGAGGGATGGGAAAGGGTAACTAAGGTAGGGAATGGGAGGGTGGAGCAAGGGTTGGATGTTGGTGCTGGTAGCACAAGTGAGAAGGAGGAGGAAGGGGAACTGGTAGGGCCGAGAGGAGGGGAGAGAAAGCCAGAGAGAGGGGCACAGAGAGCAGGGGAGCGAGGCGGGGAGAGGGGGGTGGGGGCGCGGGGCGAGAGGGGGTCTAAGAGAGAGGAGGGCCGGTGGGGGGAGGAGCAGAGGAGAGAAGCGGAGCTGGCGTGCCTGCTGGCAGAGGAGAGGGCAGGGAAGCAGAGCAGAGTGAAAGGCAAAGGAAGCGGGTCAAGCAGGGGGAGAGATGAGGCCGTGAAGGAGGGAGCAAGGGAGGGAGCAGGTGAGGGGAAGGGGAGGGGGCAGGACGGCAGGATAGGTAAAGGGCGGGGCAGCAAGGGGAGTAACAGTGGTGGTGGTGGTGCTGCTGCTGCTGGTGGTGGTGAGAGGTGCAGGAGTGACGGAGGGGGTGGTGTGGTGTCGCTAGCTGCTGCGGGTGACTGGCTGGACGGGGAGCAGGGCGGGCAGAGGCAGGGCGACAGTGGCACTCACAGGAGGAGCCACACCCACATGGGAGGGATGCTGCACCCGCACACTCCCACTGCCACTGCTGCTTCCGCTGCTGCGTCCCCTGCTGCTGCTGCTGCTGCTGCTGCCTCTGCTGCTGTTACTGCAACTGCAGGTGGTACTTACACGGGTGGTAACCGCAACGGGTACTCGGGCCACATGCGCAATGAGAGCCTCATGTGGACGCCAGAAATCGACGCTGCAGCAGCCGGTGTTGGCGCCGGCAGCGCCATCTCCTTCGCCGCCGCCGCCTCTGCGTTTGCTGCTGCCTCTGCTGCTTCCTCATCTGCCAATGCTTCTCCCTTCCACCGTGCTCCAGCGTCGATGGGTTTCGGGTCACAGCATGCACCAGCACCAGCAGCAGCAGCAGCAGCACCATCCATGGGCAAGTACGCACCTCTTGCCGATGCGCTTTCCTTGGGCAGCGCCACGGAAAAGATCTGCGCCGCTCGATCAATACGGGCCATGGTGAAATCCCGCACGAATGGCGAGACCAGGGAGGAGCGCAGGAGCTTCCTGGAAGCGGGCGTTTTGGAAGCCCTGATAGCCGCCTTGGCTACACACACCGTCGAGTGGGAGAGCGGGAGAGCAGCAGCAGCAGCAGAGGAGGAGGAGGAGGCGGTGGTTGAGAACGTGATGAACGCGCTTCTCGCGCTTCTCCTCCACTGGAACGCGGGCCCGGAGGTGGTCCTGGCAGGGGGCATCCCGTCTCTAGTATCCGTGCTGCAGCACGCGACCCCCGCAGCGCAGGCCACGGCAGCAGCAGCGCTGTACGTGCTGGCCAAGGACGACGAGAACCGCTCGCTCGTGCGCACGGGAGGCGCCATCCCCGCCCTCGTGCGCGTCATGGAAACAGGGTCCGCCCGCGGGCGAAAAGACGCCGCTCTCGCGCTCTTTGCGCTGTCTCTCTCCGTGCGGTGCGCGAGAGACATTGTGGGTGCGGGCGCCATCCCGCTGCTGCTGAGCCTCATCGGGCAGGACGAGAACGACGACGGGGGGCTGCCTGGAATGGAGGAGAAGGCGGCGGCGGTCCTGCTGAACCTCTCCCGGCTGCCGGAGGCGTGCGAGGAGATCGCAGCGCAGGAGGGCGGCGTGGGGGTGACACACCTGATTGATTTACTCGACGCGGGGGCGTGCCAGAGGAGCAAGGAGGATGCGGCGGGGGTGCTGCTGGCCATGCTGCAGTCCGAGGTAGTCACGGTGCAGGCGCTGCGAGCGGAAGGGGCGATTCCATCGCTGGTGCGGATTGTCGGGGGGAGTGGCGGGGGAGGGGCGGCGGGGGGGAGTGGGGGAGAAGGGAGTGCGCCAGAGGCGAAGGAGCTCCTGCAGCGACTGAGGCAAGGGTGAGGGGAGGGGGAGGGGGGGGGGGGGGGGGGGATGGCGGGGGGAAAGGGGGAAGGGGGGAACTGGGGTAGGGGTGGGGGACGGATGGGTTGTAGGTTGGGGGGGGGAGACAGGGAGGAAGGGAATAAGGTGCACAGGAGAGGGCAGTGAACCAGTGGTGCAGCTCTGCCTGCCTGCGCCTTTGTTGCCTGGTGCAAGCTCGTCCTCTGCGTTCACAGCTGCAACTCTGTAAGCTTTCCTTTTCTTTTGCACATTAGTGCATGCACTGGGTGGTGCTGGTGCACTGCACTCTGCCAATGCAAGTGCCATAACAAAGCTGCCTGAAGCGGTCGTCTCGTCGCCATCGTTGTCGTCACCGTACCAAGTCTAACATCGTCGTCCCGTATACTAGCACAATGTATGAGAAATACCGGTTGTTTCTCCTGTGTGCAAGTCTTGCTCTTGTTTGCTTTGACTAACCTCATTCTGCAGTCTGCATGTTGAGCTACCGGTACATTGGTGGTGCTCATTCTCTTGACGGATTTGCTTAGCACTAACACATTGCTTCGTTCTCATGCTCTTAATTGATGTTCTTTGTTGTTCCATTGGCATAAATTTAGTATGGTATTCTCAAACAACATTGAAATCATAATTGCACTGCAAAGCGGGTATCACTTTTTCCTCTCGCAGACGCTAATCTGATCATTAGGTAGATTGTCTCGTATATCGAGGGATCATGCTAGCGAATCTCAATAACTTCGTGGAAGTTCACCTGGCAGGACCTTTTCACACGCCAGGACGACGTCGCAATTTTCGACGACGTCGTCACGTTCTCCAAAAGTCATTCGTACTTTTGAAGCTTGCTGCCCTAAACAGGTCTTACCATCCGGGGGCTTTTGAAAAACAACTGTACAACAAGCGAGAGTGTCTCCAAAGCCTAGCCTCCAGACTCCACGTCTAGTGTCCTCAGCTGACACCACCACCTTCGAGGCAGCACGATGCCACGATGCTTGCTAGCTGCAACCCGACCTTGGCCGAGGGGTTTATGTGAACTGCCCTGAACTTTGTGCAAACCTACAGAATTCCACCCAGGCGCGTTGTGCACTCAACTCAGCAAACCCCACGCCGTGCCCGTCGGATCCGAGTTCCGGACCTGCCAACCGTCCGATATCAGCGGTCGAGTCGCGGGCCCGAACGTCACCTCCAAAATTCCCGCTTCCGCTTCTCCCCTCCCCTCCCCTCATGGGAATTCAACCTAACCGACCGACTGCCCTCATCGGTCTACGAACCAGCTCCCTGCCTCGTTACCTTCCTCTATCTCCAATCGTCGACTCCCATGTTTTGGTGAGCTCCTCTAGTTGTCACAGTTTCGCCCCTCTTCGCGCCCAGTCGTCGCTTTGCTTCTACTACACGGCTTTAGGCGGCTTCCTGACATGCAAGGCGCAACGTAGTTCACCACACCGCGACTCCTCAGATCAATCCTGACACTCTTCTCTCTTTCTCGGCAGCCGTCATTCTCGGCAGCAGGCACGGCGCCTGTACAGTGGCCATGGTCGTCGTCCCGTCGCCAATCGCCTTACAACACCTAATCATACCGCACGAGCTCCGACTGTAATTGCTATTCCCTGAGCACGGATCGCGTCAGGGGCATTGACGCATACCAGTCATGGACCAGGTCAGAGTTAATCGGACCGAATCGATTCTTGTCCAAAATAGCGCCAAGCTTCGGACCACCGCCCCGCACGTAGTGCCAAGCCATACCAACATCCCAGAAAAGGCTCTTCCCGCGCGGCCCGTCGCCAGCTTAGAACCTGTTGCAACGGCTCATAGTAGTAATAGCTGAAACGTACAGATTCTCTGCAGCCACTGACTCGTCCAGCCGTCGGAGCGCATCGTGTAAGGCCATTAACCCGCCCACCACGTCAAAAACGCGTGCTCCAGGCGTGGTCAAGGTGTGTCCGAGGCGTGACCAAGGCGTGACCAAGGCGTGAGCAGTGAGCAAAGCGTCGTCCCTCTTCCGACTAAACCTCGACAGACCATCTCTCCTCCTCTCGCACTCACGCGCACTCCGTCAAGTCCACGTCAAGTGAACGCCTTCATTCTTCTTTCCAGACTCGTGCCCGCGCGGCAGTCACTCTTGCGTCATACCCGCTTCTGCACGCACCGAGCACCAGTAGTCCGCACTCCTCCTTTGTTGTAACACGTCCTTTGTCCGTAACAGACGGCACGCGTTTCAGGGGGGTTCGCCGTCTAGCACTCCGCATCCTTCCCCTTTTAAGCGCTTACTTGAAGTGTCGCGCACGGCCATTTTTCGCTGTACTACTAGCACCTGAACGCCAGCTTTCATTGACCCACCATTTTTTGCTCGCTTCAGGCGCCGTTAGTAATCTCACGATCGACTAGTATAATCGGCGGCGCTGTCTATCACCAGCGACAACAGCTCCGACTTCTCCGCTCGGCCTTCCCACCAAGCTTGTCCGCCGGGCCTCTGCGCCTCTTCCCCGGGCCTCTCTGCCTGTCTCTCTTGCTTCTCTGCGCTCCGCACCCCTGCGCTCCGCGCATCGCCGCTCCGCTCTCGTCCCCGCGGGCAGACAATGCCTCCCGAACCCTCGCTGCAGCGCGTCTCGGCGGAGCCGGCGCAAACCCGCGCAGAAACTATCATCGGCGGAAGATACCGGCGCATGTGCCAGATTGGAGTGGGCGCGCAGGCGACCGTGTGGGAGTGCGTGGATTTGCGCGCCGCTGCTGCGGAGGCGCGAGCGCCGGGTCAGCCTTTACTCCTAAAGGAAACGCCCCGACAAGCGGTAGATTCTCCTCCGCGATACTCAAGTGTCGCGGTCTCGTCGTCGCCAGGAGTCGCCGAATCTTCGCAAAGAGTCGCCTGCAAGAGCTTCCGACTTTCCCGGGCAGCCGCCGCCACTGCTGCTTTATCGTTCAACGCCTTCAGCTCACCGTCTGTCGCGGCTTTTGAGGGACCTCGAAAGGCGTTTGACTCTCTCACCGCATTTAACAGCGGCCATCGCGACTCGGAGCTCCTTCACCTTCGCCAATCGCCGCTGATGCGGCTAGATGCCTTCGCGGAGGTTTCTTCGCTGGAAGTGGTAACCGGGCATCCGAATATCGTTCGCCTGTTTGACGTCGTCGTAGAGCCGCCACGTCAGATTCTACCCGAAGCTGTTACTACCAACCGAAACCGCGAAACGACATCTTGCGGTCCGGCTGAAGCTGATACCGCAGTTCCTTATGCTACTAATGCTACTAGTCCTAAGACTAGTGGTGATAGTAGTCCCAGTAGTAACCGCTGGAAGGTACACCTGATTATGGAGTATACAGATTCCGAGGACCTACTAACGGAGATCGTGAAACGTGGTCCGTTGACGGAGAGCGACGCGGCGGCCGTTTTCCGTCAGATCGCGTCCGCCGTGGCGTTTTGCCACGCGAGCGGCGTCATTCACCGCGACATCAAGCCAGACAACGTGCTGCTCACTCGACCGCCGTCGCCGTCCGTATCGCCGCCACTGTCGCCGTCGCCGTCGCCGTCGTCACCGCGACTGGCGCCAACGCCTCCACGATCGCCGTCGAAGTCGCCGTGTTGTTCGATTGTGATCGACCAAATAGAGGATTGGAACGCGGGCTCTAGTGGCGCAGTTAGCAGTGGCAGCAGCAGCAGCAGCAGCAGCAGCAGCGGCAGCAGCAGTAGCAGCAGCAGCGGCAGGAGCAGTAGCAGCAGCGGCTGCAGCAGCGGCAGCAGCGACAGCAGCAGCGGCAGCGGCAGCAGCATTGCGACGAGGAGGGTTGGTGCTCGGCCGCGCGACTCCCCTCCCTGCACCCCTAACCCTGCCTCTGCTCCCTACCCGCTGATTCTCGAGCCGCCTTGCCATCCCCACTCCTACCGCCCGCATTCGCTCCCCCCCTCTCCATACCTCTCTCCCCTCTGTCCCCTATCGCCCCTCTCTCCTCTCTCGCCCGAGGCATCCCCTCCTCCCGCCGCCTCCCACACGCGCCGCTTCCGCGCGTCGTGCTCCTTGCCTCCCCCCTCCTCATCCTGCTCCTCTCCCCCCTTCCCCTCCGCGTACCCTCACTCCTCCCCATGCCCGTCCCCGCCCCGCTCCCCGCTCTGCTCCCCGCACCCATCCGCGCCATCCGCGCGGGCCCCCTCCGCTCAAGCCGCTTTCTCCGCCCAATTCAACCGCGCTTCCCCTCGCTCTCCCCACTCTGCCACGCCAGGGGCTGAAGGATCACCAAAACAACCTCCTCCCACCGCTTCCAACCGTTCCGACAAACCTTTTGACCGTTCCAGCTTCATTGTGAAGCTAGCTGATTTCGCGCTGTCAACACACGTGGAGGGGGGACCTAGGGGGAGGAAAACCGACGCAGGGGCGGGCACTAGACTCTATATGGCCCCTGAGATGCTTGGGGGAGGGGAGGGGAAGAAGAGGGTTGGGGGAGGGGGAGGAGGAGGGGATGGGTATGGTTGCAAGGTTGATGTGTGGAGTATGGGAATCACACTTGCTGCTATGCTCACTGGTCGAATCCCGGGAACCCCGGTGAATTTCAATGGGGTGGTTTGGCGAGGGGTGTCGGCGGGAGCGAAGGATCTGATCCGTCGGATGCTCCAGGAGGACCCGGATCGACGGCTGAGCTCGTTTGAGGTGCTGGAGCATCGGTGGTTGCTGCAGGCTGGAGGGAAGAAGCCAGGGAACAGTGATTGTGCTCCCACCAGCATTGCTGCTGCTGCTGCTGCAGCTGCTGGTTCTGCTGCTGGTGCTGCTTCTGCTGCTACTGCCGCTCCTGCTGCTACCACCGCTGCTGCTGCTGCTGCACCGTCTGCTAGTGCAGCAATTGCAGGGTGGGCAAGCCTCCTCCCTATGCGCCCACGCACCACTACCGCAGGGGGCCATTGTGACCCAGCAGCGCAGCAACAGGCGCCAAAAGCGTTGGCAGTCACGGCCTGGCAGCCTTGGTATGGAAGTCAGAGCGTAGACGCGTGGGCTTGAAGGCTTGAGGATTTGACGGGGGGCCTGGAGACAGGTTTTAGGCGTTTAGGCGACCCACTCACCCAATCGCACACGCACACTTCCACCCTGCCACCCTACGAACCACGTCTTTCAAGATTGGTGGTGCTGACAGAAAGGAATGTCAGATCGTGAGACACGTTCCAGCGAGCAACAGTGTAGGTGAAGGTAGTGTGGAGGGCAAGGAATGTCACGGCAGGCACTGTCACGGCTTCGAACCAATTATGGTGTTGGCAGTGGCCAGTGTGGAGTGTGGAGGAGAGTGGGGGGGGAGTGCGTGCACACACTTGTGACTTTTGAGTCAACTTCAAGCACTTGAAGTGCCCGGGCCAGGGCGTGCAAACGAGTGTGTGGGGAGGAGAGCGCACACTTGCTCTCCATAGAGGATCTTACTTCGCCTCGCTGGGGCTATCAGTATACTCTGATAAGACCGTGCAGGGCTGCATAAACCGTAACTCAGAGCTTGTATGGGAGATAAGAAGAGCAGATCGAGAGCAGAGTTGCAGGGAGCAGGGGTGGGGTGCAGTTGCGAGGAAAATGCAAAATCTGAATCGAAGGGGGGTAAGGGGGGGAGATGGGAGGGAGAGGAGGGTGAGGTGCTCGGAGAGGGAAGAGGGGGGGGTATAACTGGTGTAGGATGTGGAAGGGCGTGTTACATTCTCAGTGACAAAAAGGATCTTCTTGTATGTGCTCACTACGTGTTTGTATGTACCATGTAATATGTTAACTGAAAGCGTTAGTGCAATTGTTGTGTTGCACATTCCAAAGGCAGGACAGTGAGTGACATCTGAATAGGGGCATGCTGAAACTGTTGGAAACAAGTGACTCAAGCGCTTCTTATGTGTCGAATTATCAAAGTGTAATTGAGGAGAGGGAGAGGGGGGGGTATAACTGGTGTAGGATGTGGAAGGGCGTGTGTGTTACATTCTCAGTTACCTTGTATCTTCTTGCTTTAATCAATCTACTTGTTGGAAACAATTGTGGTTAAGCGCCTCTGTCGTGTCGAAACACTAAGGCACAAGCGAAGCAAAGCATATCAAGGCACCAGCGAGTCAACCCTCGGAGGTTGAAGCAACTGCTGGAGGTTACGCGAAAGTCAAAGGTCAGCGACCTTTGACCTGACAAGTACAGCGTGACAGCAAGGACACACAACTGACTCGCTACAGAGCAGTTGCCCGAGTCGTCACTGTATCGAACCGCAACAGCAACAGTAAAACAGTTATAACCGTATCCTTTCATATTCCTTGTACCGTACTCCTATATAATCTTGTATCTCTTTGTTTTAATCAACTTACTTTGTTACTTACTTACTTTCTTTCACAATCTCTTCATTAAACGCTTCCGCTATTACATTGATCCTACCCAGAGTTCACCCCTGCAAAGATCCTAAGGGCTTTTCTCAGCCCAACATGGTATGAGAGCTCACAGGGGAAACTCAACTACTATCAAGTCATCAGAAGCATTACAAGACATGGCAACACAGAAGGAAAGGAGTTCCTCTAACGGTTCTCCTGGCATTACTCCTACTCCACTTCCTGCCTCTGGCCTACAGACAGAGGAGGGAACTGCAATGGGACCAGCAGCACCTTCGGCGAATCAACCTGCAGACTTCGACCAAAGTATGATGGAGAAATTCTTCTCCTTCATGTCCTTCTACGAGCAACACCAGCAATCGGCACCTGCGCAGTCACATAATAGCAACAACAACGGAGCAACTCCCATGAGCCTCGACGGCTCATCATACGCACGAGGAAATCAACAGCAGCAGCCTACCTTTGCTCCGTACGAGCGCGGGTCCATCAGCTTCATGCCGAACCCGCAGCCTTCACCTGGACAAGAAAAGCCACTGAACGCACTGCAAGTTCAGTCGCAGTTCGCGCACGTTTTAAAGCTGCAGACAACGAGGCTCTTCGATGGAAAGGATTTCTTCACCTGGTCGTTCGAATTCGAGTTAATGATGGAAGGCGCGCAGATACTTGGCTTCTTCGACGGGTCCCTGCCATACCCAACGAACGGCACACAGTATGAGAAGCAACAGTACACCTATCAGTCGATGATGGCGTACACTATTCTACTGAGAAACATCACCCCGACCCAGCAGCAGAATATATGGTCTTACCGGGGTTACGGCAACTCCGCGGAGCTCGCATACAGCCACTTGAAGAATCTGTATCAAGCAACAGACAGCGTAAACTTGAGTCGGTTAATGGCGCAATTGACAACGGTCGAAATGAACCAGGCGAGAAGGGAATGGCGTATATCAGCCGATGTCGCGAGCTGCGCGACAAGCTTCTTCGATGCGGAGGGTCGATTTCTGAAGATGCCTTCGTGACAGTCATCATCGGCGGCCTTGGTCCTCAATGGCGCGCCACAAATGCCATTCTCCGAGCCCACGGAAGAATCTCCGAAGCAGCACTCTGCGCAGAAATCCATGCCGAGCAGCAAGACATGGACCTGCAAGAAGAACGACACAAGAAGAAGATATCAGCACCGGAATTCGCATTCCACACTCAGCGACGCTACAACAACTACAAACAACAACAACCGAAGTCCGTACCTCCTTTCTGCCACATCTGCAAGACGTCAGGGCACCCGCGCACACACTGCCCGAATCGACAACAGTCAACTCCACCGCAACGGCAGCTTCGACCCTCCAGCAGCCAAGTGGCATCAACGCAGGCGAACCCCACGAGCCAGTCGAAACCGTCAACAACACAACCTGCACAAGAAGCAATAAACATCGTCAGCTGCATGGCAAAATTGACCGATTCCTGCATCACCGAGTCACCGCCATACTACTCACCGGAAGAACAACTCGACAACACCACACCTCGCCGCGAGTCATTTCAGCCGAACCCAACATACACAGCCATCGCTCAAAGCGAGCCATCCGGGAAGGACACGTGGTTCTTGGACAGTTGCTGCGGACAACACATGTGTTCTTCAGGACGCTTCGTGCAGCGAGAGTATCAACTTCAACACGAAGTAGTCATCACCGTCGCCAATAATCAGAACCTGCGCACACGACGACAAGGCGTGGTACAACTTCAATCACGAGAGACAAATGCCGTTCTACAGATGTCTAAGGTTTTAATCGCAGAAGGCCTCGGCTACAACTTACTGAGCGTCAGTCAGTTGATGACGAAGGGTATTCACCTCGAGGCAGACAGCACCACCCAGGAGTTCAAGCTGTACCACGGGAAGGGCGGCCTCTACATCGGAAAGGCGATCCTAAAAAACAACGTCTTCGTTCTTGATTTTGTCCCAGATCTCGGCACAGCAGACAGCGACGGCATCGTCACCTTCACCTCCTGGACCCACCCTCCAGATCTTGATCCAGACTTCAGTCCATAAGGCTTCTGGTACTCACACACCATTCCTGAGACAGAAAGAACAAGGGCGTTAGCAACAATACAACATTCGGCAGCAGCAGAGACAACATCGGCAACAGCAGAGACAACACCGGTAGCAGCAGAGACAACACCGGCAGCAGAAGAGTCAACATCGGCAACAGCAGAGACAACATCGGCAACAGCAGAGACAACGACAGCAGCAGCGGCAACATCGACACCAATCACTGGTCCTTCAACGACACCAATCTTCATCGACGATTCGCCACCAACACCCGCACAACAGTTAAACCCGACTCAACGAGAAGTCCACCGAAGCGCCAACCTCACCGCCAGCTTCTACTCCAACTCCTATCTGTATCGACGATCACCCGGACATCGCGCCGACGAAAGCACCTGGCACGCAAGGATGGGACACCCAAGCAACACAGTGTTAAATAATACGATAAGGGCAGGAGTGCTTGACAAGGACTCACTACTACTAACCGACGGGAGAGAACTTCAACGAGCACGTGGAACATGCTTCACCTGTCCTGAAGCTGACTTACCGCATCAGCCGTTCACATCTCACCACAATCCTAGTGCTCCGGTCTACGCGCCTCTTGAAAAGGTGTACAGCGACATCCTGTACAACCGTGCCCCCGGACAGAATGCGTACAACTACACCATCACGTTCATCGATGCAGCAACACGCTACGTCTGGCATCTCAACCTTCCGAGCAGGGACATGGCCTTCGAAGCCTTTGTCGCGTGGCTCCCCGTAACAGAAAGGGAATCGGGCGTCAAACTAAAGAGCTTCCAGTCAGACGGGGGAGGAGAATACACCTCACAAAGGTTCAAGCAGTATCTGGCAGAGAGAGGAATCAAGCGGCTCATTTCCCTTCCCTACGCCCATCAACAACAGGGTGTAGCAGAAAGGATGAACAGGACCCTCCAGAACACCATGCAGAAACTGTTACGTGGCATGCGGCTACCCAACCACCAGTGGCCCGAAGCAATGGACCACGCCGTGATGCTGCACAACTTGCTTTCTTCGTCGTCACTTCCGAACAACACATCACCGCATCTGCTGTGGACAGGAAATCTGGGCAGCACAAAAATGTTACGAGTCTTCGGCTGTATGGTACAGTACCGACCTCCATCTGCACGAGCAGGACGATTCTCCCAACGAGCACAGTGGGGGCTACACCTGGGCATCGAAAAACACTACAACGCATGGAAGATTTTCGACGTCGAGACAAAAGAAACAGTGGCAGCACGTGATGTCATTTTCTACGAGCGACTCACACTGCCGACGTACCTTGCCAACCTGGACGAAAACCGAGACCCCACAGGTGGCTTCCGTGGAGACCGAGCCTTCGCTTCGGCAGAAGACGAAGCTGACTGGGACGAGCAGAACGTGGAAGGAGCCTTGGAAGAAGCCGGACCCCTCCCCTACTGCTCCGTCAACGTGCCAATGGACGATGAAAACCCACGCGAAAGCATCAACGCCGAAACCTACTACCATTTCGCTGACAACGGTTACGTTACACCTGCACAAGTAAACACCGACGAAGCCAAACGCGTAGGACCCAACTTCGCACCTGATCCAGAAGCGGGAGACGAAGCTGCTTATCCCGTGGACATGTCACT